TGAACCCCGGGAACCGCCCGGTTTTGAACACCGACCCTAGGCTGCAGCGAGTTGCAGCTGGATTTGAAAGCGAGTCTCCTATCATCTGCGCTAACCCGGCCCGCCATTATAATGAAATGAGACTCATTTCCTAGTGCTGTAAGACGGGATGTGAAGAAAGTCGAGTCAATGTGATCAATGTAGCAGTGCGGAACAAAAAAAAAATACTGGAGGTGTCCACATGAAAAAGTGAACGGGTTTACTTAGGCGAACAGCTGGGCATTCGTCTTCCAAAATAGCTGACAACTTTCACAGAGGCAGGTCGTAGTCACTAAATAAGATGTAGAAAACAGGAAAACTAACCACATTTATTCTTCCAAGAACAAGATACTTGTTTTAAATAAATTATTCAGAAAGACTCGGAGTTATATGGTCAGTAAATTAACTTTAAGCGGAAATATTTATGTCTAAATCAAGCGCCTCGACGGACTGGGAAACACAATAGCAGAAGACACGGTATCAGGAAGGAGAGGCAGGGGCCGAGCAACACGAAGATGGAAGTAGGATTTAAGTGATTCCTTGACTATGAAGGTGCATGAGGCGGGAGAGCTGGAAACAGACCCGAGTTTCTTTCAGGCAGACCGTCATGAGAGCGACGTTCTTGCAAAGGACCTGCTACATGATGATGATATTAACTTAACTTGTAACATGATCAGTATACTGATTTGTAATACAGTCAATGTTTTATTAACCTAACTTGTGATAATGCGGTCAATGTTTTATAAACTTGACTTGAGACGATATAGTTAATGTTTTATTAACTTGACTTGTGATAATATGGTCGATGGTTTATTAACTTGACATGTGACAATATGGTCAATGTTTTATTAACTTGACATGTGACAATATGGTCAATGTTTTATTAACTTGACATGTGACAATATGGTCAATGTTTTATTAACTTGACATGTGACAATATGGTCAATGTTTTATAACTTGACATGTGACAATATGGTCAATGTTTTATTAACTTGACATAATATGTTTTTTTTAAAACTTGTAACCTATTTTATATATATATAAACTTATTACCTTATTAACTATATATGTATAGCATTTACACACACACAAAGCACGCACCATTATCCAATGGTGCTTTCATAATAAAAGAAAGAAAGAAAGAAAGAAAGAAAGAAAGAAAGAAGAAAGAAAGAAAGAAAAAGAAAGAAAGAAAGAAAGAAGAAAGAAAGAAAGAAAGAAGAAAGAAAGAAAGAAAGAAAGAAAGAAAGAAAGAAAGAAAGAAAGAAAGAAAGAAAGAAAAGAAAGAAAGAAAGAAAGAAAAAGAAATCAAAAAGAAAGAAAGAAAAAAGAAAGAAAGAAAGAAAGAAAGAAGAAAGAAAGAAAGAAAGAAAGAAAGAAAGAAAAGAAAGAAAGAAAGAAAGAAAGACAGACAGACAGACAGACAGACAGACAGACAGAAAGAAAGAAAGACAGAAATCAAAAAGACAGACAGACAGACAGACAGACAGACAGACAGACAGACAGACAGACAGACAGACAGACAGACAGACAGACAGACAGACAGACAGACAGACAGACAGACAGACAGACAGACAGAAAGAAAGAAAGAAAGAAAGAAAGAAAGAAAGAAAGAAAGAAAGAAAGAAAGAAAGAAAGAAAGAAAGAAAGAAAGAAAGAAAGAAAGAAAGAAAGAAAGAAAGAAAGAAAGAAAGAAAGAAAGAAAGAAAGAAAGAAAGAAAAGAAAGAAAAAAACGCATAGCTACTGAAAGGAATATGATTTTATCATAATTTTGTCATTCACAGTCTGTGTAATTTAATCAATGAAATGGTTCAAATTGCTCATAAAAGTACCTTAGTGTTCAACCAATTAATTGACAGCTCTTTAGCATCGGGGTTATCAATAGCTTTTAGGCATACGGGCTTTCCCCTCAACTAATAAAAACGCATCATCATAATTAGGCGTTTACTCTTCTTTTTCTTGTGAACAGAAAAGCGTAATCACATGACTGCGTCTTTTTTTTAAATATATATTTGCTACTCAGCACATACTAATAATACTTATTATTATTATTAATCACCGAAACTAGGCTCTGTAAAGTCCAACACCAGAAAATGTGTAGGTTGGCTGAAGCACCTTCCCCACCAAATGTGCCCCTGGTCTGACTAGCCATAACATACGCGTCTCACGATGCGTGAAGAGAACATTCCCTACTCGTGTTGGGGAAGTCCTGACATCCAGAGCTTTTTTTCCCCAGTCGGTACGCAGTACCGGTACCTTGTTTTGGCATATCTTTTTTCCAGCACTACTGTAAAAGATACTTTGGGGTGCGTACCGGCACCATTTTTCAGCCCCCCCCCCCCCCCCCCCCAAAAAACCTGCCTGGATACATGAATCTCAATGTTGTGTCAGGCCTGATATATTTACATATAAGGTCATGGTTTTAGCTAGCATAAAAGCATATAAACAACATAAAATAAAATGAAAACAAGACAGACCAGGGATAGTCAGTCACTAAAAATATCAAATTTAAACATCAAATAAGTGGTCATGCAATAGACTACAGGTTAATGACAAATGTACAATGCTTTATGTTTTAAAAAAAAATGCAGGCTAAAACCGCTAGTCAAACTGGCCAATCATAGGCTGTGCTTTCCGTGCCTCCCCCGTAACATAATGGATGGTGCCAATCAATGATAATACTTTGAGTGTTGTTATTGTCTATGATATCCAAAAACTTCTTTTTTTTTTTTTTAAACCAAAAAATATCATCACATTTTTTGGGTTTACATGCCCAGCATTTCAAAAACACGTTATTAACTTATAACAATGGCAGGTAGGTAGGTGCTTAGCTTGGGGGAAGAAATCGTCAAGTCCAACCATCATCCCCGACGGCGGTGGGGGGGGCGCTTTAGGTTATAATTGTGATTAGGTTATGTGCGCCACATAAAATAGCTTAACACTGCACGCCACCAAGGGCCATGAAAAGGACTCCTCCAGTGTCGATGCGATCAACGGAAATAGACCCCAATACTGCCCCGAAGGAGACGATGTCGTCTACCGGCGAGCCAATGGACACCCCGGTCGCCGATGTGTATCAATGGCAGCTGGAGAAAAAAAAACCTTAAAGTATAAAGAGAACTATAAAGGTGTGAGAAAACAAACGTGTAAGGTTACTGGGTTAAAACGAAATGGGATGACTTTCAAGAAAGGAGAAGAAATCACAGAAACGACTCGTCAGCCGTTGGTCGGATCTGCTATACGCAGAAGCGGACACAGTAGCAGAAAATATGGATTGAGCAAGTGATGAGTCCAAGCGAAATCCTTGACGAACATTAATAAGAGACAGTTGAAGTGAATGACTAGATTCCACATGCTATTTCGGAAAGACACAATTCTTCTCTTTTAATTCGCGTTCACCGGCAGTAAACTCCGGGGAAAAACTGGGATTGTTCGTCCACTTCTGGATTTTAGGCTTGTCCCAGAACTTGAGTTTTGTGTGCAAATCCGTATTATAGACCTAGCTTTTGTGTGTGTAGACTATTGGTTCCTCGCCTGGCAGGCAGATGCACTCGGACTTGGAAGCCCCCGAAACAAATATGTGGCCGTGGAACACACTCAGGGACATGAGAAAACGAAATGAAGGGATCGAACGACAGCCTTTTTTGTGTGACGTACAACGACACAACAAGTTAGCAATGACGACCCTGACAACAATATCAAATAAAAATCTGTTTGCTCAACTCTCTCAAACTGAAGTATTCTGGCCACATCAAACGTCACGGTGCCTTGGAAAAGACGGTGATGGAGGGCGCAGTGCAGTGCAGTCTGTGGAAAGTGAGGTAGAGGTAGACCTCTGCGAATATGGATACAGGACATTGAAGATGAATTGGCACTGAAAGCACATGAGGCTGGAGAGCTGGCTAGGGAAATAAATACTTTCAGCCGTGCCGTGGAAAAAGCGATGTTCTGTTTATGACTTGCTCACTGATGATGATGATGATGATGATGATAAGCAGAATAACTATAGAAACGCTTGGTCATTTACCTGTTTAAAAAAAATAGAGTTAGTGTAATGAGGCTGTTCTCATGTGGATGTGCAGACAACGAATAATGAAACCATGAAACGGTGAAGAGTTTGCAGCAGGAGAGAGGCTGCATGTTAGACTTGAGAAAGTTGTTGACAAAGAAAAGTACAGGTGATGAGAGCTGTGTGTTTACAAGACTTTTCATTGAAGGAACAAGAAACAGGTAAATGAATATAGAGCATATCAGCAAAAGTGTTATTAGAAGGCTATGCAGTGGGGAAAAACTGGCAGAGGAAGACACAGAACGATGTAGCAGTGGGGAAATACTGGCAGAGGAAGACACAGAACGATGTAACAGTGGGGAAATACTGGCAGAGGAAGACACAGAACGATGTAGCAGTGGGAAAATACTGGCAGAGGAAGACACAGAACGATGCAGCAGTGGGGAAATACTGGCAGAGGAAGTCTCAAAACGATGTAGCAGTGGGGAAATACTGGCAGAGGAAGACACAGAACGATGTATCAGGAAAGCTCAAATAATTAGGCAACAAATAATGGTACAAAGTAACATAAATTGCATCAACATATATATCAGAATAAAGACAGGAAAGCCCAGTCGTGATTGCCGACTTTAGCTTGGACTAGACCAGTGCAGGGGTCAATCTGTGACAATTTGATTGTTGCTGAATGAATTAATGGACAACGTTATGTATAACTGTTTCCTTTCTTCCCTTTTTCCTCTCAGAACTGTAACCTGGAGATATCCTGTTCTCCGACACTGAAGAAGCTCCCATTTAGTCGACTCTCACGACATGTTTGTTGGGGAGGCAGTGGTTCTATTTTAGTTTTCTTCACAATGAGACCCAGGAATCCACAGAGAGAACCCACAGCTGACAATGGCATTGAAGGTATCAGCATCGAATCACAAGTATGTTACAAATATTACAAGTTAAACAATATGGCAATAGCTTCTTCTATGACTCTCGCTCTTTCTTGATGCTGACGTCTTTACCATTGATGTTGCTGCTGCTAGCGCTGCTGCTGTCCCCTGAAGTACTGGTGCTGCTTGCGCCCGGCCCGTTGTAGTCCTCGCCGAGAATTGTGATGATCTCCCCTTGCATGAACGCCCAAGGAATGTTGGAGCCAGCAAGGGGGCACTTATTGCCGCTCGGGCAGTAAACTTCCGAGCCCGCGCCTTGTCGTTTAATGCTTTCTTTAGAGCAGGGAAAGCAGAACTTGTGGTCTGCTACGGATGGGCACTGAACAAAATGAGTATCTTCTAATCGTTCTTGACACAGGGTGCACTTCAAAAGCTCTGCAGACATCCCGCTGGTCGACTCCGGAATTGTGCTCCCTACCCCGGTGTCGCAGACTGGACCCAGGTGTGAACCTCTCCTGGAACCGTTCGGGGACTGATGTGGAACGCGCATCAAGTTACCAGCATGAAGAAGATCTGGCTGTCTTGGAGACACGAGGGTATCTGTTACACTCATCAAAGCGGCCATAGGCGACGGGCCTGGGTTGGTCAGCATGTGGCTTCCGTTGGGTGGACTGGGTGTGTGATTGTGGTTGCTCAGCGGCGAGATGGACGTTGAGCTCGGCAGACCAGGCCCATAGGCAGTGGCAGCAGAAGATATTGTTAATTTTAGGGCATCGGTCTGACTCTGTAGCCACTGTTGTCTCTTTTGTTGATCATCGCTGAACTTACTTGACGGTCCCCCGTAGTCTTCATCGCTTCCTGGAGAGCTCTTTCTTTTGCGACTACTGCTACTAGAACTACTGGCTCCGTCCAGCAATGATCGATGTGAGTCTGGTTTAGATAAAGGAATTAATCGGCCTAAGTGGCTGGGCAGTGGCGGAAGGCAGCTGTCTACATATGGTGTTGGAAGAAGTTCCCGCTTAAGTGCTTCCTTGAAATATCGCACACTGTCCGAGAATAGATCGGACATGTAGTTCCACTGCCCGCTGTTATGTTTAACCTCATATTCCAGATACACCAGCCCTGATGACTGTCCCTTGCCGAAGTCCTTGACCGTGTCCTGGCACATGAGTTTCACCAGGCTGGCGATAGAATTATGCACGGTCCCAGACCCCACAGGGTACTCTACAAAGTACTTTAGCTCTAGTTCGTGAGGAGACTTGAAACTGACATCAAACGCAAACATACGGCCCATTAGCATGTGATCTTTCCTCAGCCTGATCAGAAAAGGGACGCAAGCAGCCAGAGTGTTCAGTGTGTCCCGAACCAGTGAATTCTTTTGAATGGCTTCTTCAAGAGATGAATATCTAACTAAATCATCGGCGCCGGACTCACTGTCGTCATCGTTTCCCCTCCTTCCTTGTAACAGAGGCGGCTGTGGAGGAGCGCTGTGTCGGCTAGAGTGGTTGAGAGGATGCAACAGAGGCAGACCCATGCGAGGGGGACTGTTTCTATGGTGCATTTCCGCAAAATGGTCCTCTGATGTTCGTGAAGAAGGATGCAGGTGGCTAACTGAAAGGCCAGTGGTAAGTCTCCCTAAAGAAGAGAACTCTATCATTGTCCGCCGAGAGTCGATGAATCGGTCCTGCGACGGATGGTGAGCTAGAGATGGAGGAGGTTGAGAATGACCCGAACCTGGCAGGTGATGAGCCGAAGGTGGCCCAGTTAATCGTGTTGCGTCCAGCGGCACTGACGAGTGCTGATGTACCTCAGACGGGCCGCTGGAAGAAGACTGACCATGAATTCCAGCTCTTGACTGAGCCCCTGATGCGATATTCTGAGGTGACGGTTTCCCAACCCCATTGACCACAGGTCCTCTGGGCGAGTCCTGGAAGCCATGCACTCTTTTCATGTGCCTAGCAGCGTCGATGATCATTTCAATTCTATCGGGGCCTTCATAGTTAACACATCCCCGACACACCGACTCGGAGAAATCATGCACCATGGCCCAGGGCATGCGTGGCAGATCGCAGAGGTAGCAGTGTTGGCGTTGTGCTCGGTGCGGCATTGACATGTCAATCAAAACCTACAACAAACTGGCAAAATTCCCACACACCGAGAGACGATATTTTATAAATCGAGGATGTAGCAATAGTAGTTTCTGCTTTACATGACTGTTCTGGAGTCTGCTCAAATCATGCCTTGACGTTTGTGTTCATTATCAACTAACTGGGTCAGCAACACACAAAAGATAACGCGAATTTCTTCACTACAGTTCACTCTATTCGGTTGATTTTAGTAACGGTTATTATTATACAGTTACTGGATATCCTGTAGCTTAAGCGTTGTGAACAAGTTTCGTAAATGTGGGCGATCTGGCAGATGACAGCCTCGTGTGGATTTTGACAGTTGTACAAAGAGCCGACCGTTGAGTGGCAATGGCAAACTAAAATCACAGACCATAAAAAATCTAGCGCCGGTTCTGCAACGTCATATAAGGGATACAAAACTAACTTTTACCTTCGTATTGTGCTGGATAGAGTCGCAAGAAGAACCGTATTTAGTTTCTCATGTGGGTTATTCACAGACTGTTAACGTGTTCAGAAACCGACTACAATATCTCAGTGAGTCCAAGCTCCGTGTCACTATTTGCAAATGGCAAGTTACAAGAAAATAGGTGTTTCTGCTTCTGACAGTCCCATTCTCAACACTTCTTTACTTGTAGATAATGTTCACAGCAGTTGTGTAGATTTGCTGAACTCGTCAAATGACTTCACAAATCCAACTGCTTCCTTAGTATTCACAATAACCATCTCTCCATAAAGAGGTCGATACTGCATGCTCACTTCGCCTGCTACAAGTTAGTTAATTCAGCAAAAGTCACGTACCTGTGTGTTTATATATCCAACAATATTAATGTTTCGGAAAATAAAACAGCTCCCAAGAATACAATCCAGTCAACAGAAGGATAATGCAGATAATCGATTAATGATTGGTTTCTATAGCGGCAAGCATGCGGTGATAAAGATGCAAGCGAATGTTGTCACGATGCACTGCATCACTGAATCACTGTCGCAGACGAGACAAAGCTGTCGCACTGATCAATAACACCCGTTCTTGTACTGCAGACGGGAACCTGCCACAAAGAACGGACGCCAGATCCCTGCAGCCAAGTGTACACCAGATCACATACAACGTTATCGTTTGCTTGTTTGGACATATACCCGGTGCTTGTTTGCTAAGTTTCTAACTAGAGTTTAGACTTATAGTTAACGCTGTGGGGCTAAGTTTACCGCGCTCTGAACCTTCTATCATAACCCGAGCAGTCGAATGAGGCGCGCAGTCGAGAGAACGCGACTTCCCGCAGTCGATATGTCAGACACGCCGTCACGGCAGGCCAATCACTGACACAAAATTCTAACCGGGTCTGCTGGCGGTTTTTTTACTTTCAACATCTGCACCCCTTCGGCATCAGGCTAATAGAATGTTTAATTTAACCTGCCAATCTCAACTATCACTGTGCGGATGAAGTGTACAATTTTTGATACCAAATCAGAAGTCTATGAAATTCATACGCCGAGAACCAAGACTAATCGGTCTTCGAAAACAGAAACAGATTTGCAAGGTTTAAGAGAAAGAAAAACGCGTGAAGGTTTGGTGAAGACAGGCGGGAAGGTGTTGGCGGGCGGGTTAGGGTGACGATTTCGCATAACAATAACAGAGGCGCACCTGTCGAGGCAGTTGTCGGCTGTGGTGCACACAGGGAGGCGAGGGATGGTGGACGGGGGGGGGGGGGGGGGGGGGGGGGGGGGGGGGGGGGGGGGGGGGGGGGGGGGGAGTGTGCGGAAGTGGGGACAAAAGACGTGACAGTCAAAATGTGGGTCTGGCTGCTAACCTCACGTCCTGAGGTCATTTTCAAACAGTCAAAACTAAAAGGTCGATCACAGCGCGTTTTGCTTGTGTGCAAACACATACGCACAAACACGCACTAAACCCCTCATATATATATATATACACACACACACACACATACACACACACGCATATATATTCATCTCTCACAGATACAATTTCAGTGACCGGGTAGCCGATTGGCTGGCCGGTAGACGACTTCGTCGCCAGTCAGGCCAGTATCTGGGTCTGCCTCTTTTGATAGTAAAAACACTGCAAGAGCCCGTTTCGTGGTTACTTTGTGGCGAGCAATGTTAAGCCATTTTTAATGGCACACATATAACACAATTATAACCCAAAGCTCTCCCTTCGGGAATGTTGGCTGAATGTGACGATTTGTTTTTTGCCAAAGCCACAGATACATTATACTTTCAGACACACACCACTTGTGACAGATGCAGTCCGACTCCGAAGAAATCCTCGGCTATCCTCCGAATAACAAGCATATATTATGGCGGCCAAAAACAGAGCCTCAGTCACGTGTCAATAGCGCACTTCCGGCGACCTAATTTGCAGTTTTCCGGCGACTACTGCCCCCGCCGAGACTATCCCCACGCCGCTCACGCGGCGTGGACTGGGGTTAAACTAGATGGCTGGGACTCACGAGCAGTAGCTTCCGCATCTCCTGCAGCTTTGCTCGTGAGTCCTAGCCATCTAGTATAGCCCCAATCCACGCCGCGTGTGGCGGTAGTCGCCGGAAAACTGCAAATTAGGTCACGGAAGTGCGCAATTGAAACGTGACTGAGGCCCTGTTAGGGTGTTTTTGCAGCCGCCATAATATGTGCTCGTTATTCGGAGGATAGCCAAATCCTCTAATTAGTCAACTGCTAGATATTGTTGTTAGGGAGGAAGTGGGTCTATTCTTGTTTTCCCCGTCAATAGGACCCCGAGACCAACACGGGGTTTAGAACTTCCACAAAAAATTTAGTTGTAACTTAAAGAGGTTTATACCTGGTACTGTCTACGACACCGGGGTAGGGAGCACAACAGACCGGGGGATGGAAGGTGGTGAGCCAGTTGGCATCATATCAGGAGAACTCCGGTTAGAATTATTAGTAGTGTAACTATTTAGTTTGAAGAGGAAGGAGAAAAACCCCCCATAACCTGCACAGTTAGTGGCGACTACACTAACTACGGGCCCCTAGCTTAAACTGGCAGTTTTGACATTGAATGTGACAACCATTAGAGTGAAATAAGCTCCTAACATTTACGACCATTACTCCATGAATGGTTTTTGGGGACAACCTCTACAGTAACATTAGGTCTTAACAGCTATAACCATTTCTTCTTGGATATTTGCAGGGACCACTATTAATAAGAAGAAATTCCACAGGGGAGCGTGTACAGCAGGAGTCTACCAATCATCAGTAGAAGTAACCTCTCGTCGACAAATGTTTCGGCCCACGAGCTTCTATACATTTTTAGAGAGTGGGCCCACCTGAGTTCCTGAGGTTCAGGGTTTGTTTCGCCTGCTGCACGTATTACCGGATGTTATCGGACAGGGACAAGACGAACTGGTGACTTTGCAAAAGGTACTGTGAGATAAGAAGTCGTCTCGGTAGCATAATTAAAGCAGTCTGCATACATGGACGAGCAAGTGGCAAGCTTACGTTTGGTTTACTGGACACATGTTGGACTTTGTTGGCAGGTGGCAGAGGGACACTGGCAGACAAATCGGACACGATGGACTTTAAGGGATAAGACATTCTTTTCCACTAGACACCCGGACCAGCTCACCGAGGTCCGTCCCCCACGACGTTCCTTTGTGTCCAGAGCCAGCTCGAGGTCCTCTCAGCAACCTCGCCCAGTTGTTCAAGTGTCCGTTTGCGTTCATTACCTCGTAAACATAGTTGTTTAATCACATTGTAAAGTTAAGTGAAATGGAGACCTCTTGCGCCTACCTCGACGGCGAAGATTCTTACTGTGTACGCTTCGTCCCTCCTCAGATCGGCCGCTAAGTCACTGTACTTCTCGAGCTTGTACATATGGTTTTCGTCCATTCGCGACTAATACGGCACGGCCAGCTCAATCAGGATGAGCTGACGTTTCTCCGCAGAGTGGAGAACTATGTCAGCTCGCAGGCCGGTCTTCCGGATTAAATCAGGGTACTTTTCATGGCCAGGCAGCAGGTCAACCGCCAGTACCCAGTCCCTCGCACAGTCTAGCATCGATGGAACGTATGCGACTTTGTTGAATTTACCTCTATGAATCTGCCCAGCCTTAAGGAAGCGTATGGGGGACGGCGGTAAGACTGGCCCTCGCATATTAAAGTAAAGTGACCTCTCAACAGTTATGATCATCCTCCCCTGGATATCTTTATCATCAGTTCTCGTTGTGCCTAGTGGCACACGAGGCTTCAGAGAGGACTTTCCATGCTTTCCTGTCCTGTGCAATCTTCAGTGCAGTTTTCCATGTCAAAGATGCCGCACTCAGGTCACTTTCCATCGTTCTTCTCCATGTTGTTTTTGGGCGCCCCTGTTTTCTCTTTCCCTCTGGTGTCCATGTGAGGGCTGTTTTGGCAGGTATATCATGATTCATTCTCGTAACGTGGCCAAGATATTTCCATTTTCTCTTGGTTATCATTTTGTCTAAAGTTTCTTGGATTGTGACTTGAAGTAGTTTAGTGTTTGATACTGTATATGGCCAGAAAATTTTGATATTCTACGTAGACATGTGTGGTGGAAGGTAGACAGCTTGTGTACATCCTTTTTGGTCATTCTCCAGCATTCCGCTACATAAAGAAGAACTGGCAAAATGATGCTCTTGTAGAGTCGGAGTTTGGTTCCTCTGCAGTAATTGTTGGATTTCCAGATTTGCCTCATCCTTCCAAAAGCAGCTCTAGCTTTGTTCAGACGTGACTGTAAGTCCTCTTCGGTCCCTCCCGGCAGGGAAACCACACTGCCAAGTGGATATCTTTGGGTACAACCATTCGAGTAAAGTGAGCTCTCAACGGTTATAACCATCTTCCCCTGGATGTCTCCGAGGATAACCATTAGTGTAAAGTGAGCGATCAACAGCTGTAACCATCTTCCCCTGGATGTCTCCGAGGATAACCATTAGTGTAAAGTGAGCGATCAACAGCTGTAACCATCTTCCCCTGGATGTCTCCGAGGATAACCATTA